CTTTGTACAAATTAAGTTTTTATATAGTTTTCTATATAACTACTTATATAAATTAATTAATAAAGATATAAGCAAGGTCTCACTTTAATACCAAAAAAAAAAAAAAGTCTAGTAGTAACTATAAGGTTCAGTATGTGAGCACAATAACATTAATACAACAGAATTTTATTTGCAACAAGCATGTTTTGTTCATCTAACTTGTGCTTTATATAGGTTATAGCAGCATCATTACTAATTGCATTGTCTAAAGTAATTGCTAATATCTGTAAAAGTGTCAACACATATATATCTATAAAGAAATTGGCAAAATTACTAAATACTTGCTTTAGATATGATATCCTAATCCTCAAGACACTTAAAAAATGTATTACTAATAACAGCTCCTGTATGTGGCGAAGGAACTAATTTAAGCGCTAGGAGTAGTTTTCGAATATTCCAATCTTTATTAATGAAATAGCCTAAAAAAAGTATAACAATTAAACAACTATATTAAAAAAAAATAAATATAAATATTTATATATACACTTGTAACAGCTATATAATCAAGATTTTGGTTTGAAGTTTATAAATCAGAGATAAAACTCAAACATCCGAGTATATCCTGTATTATTATATAAACTTGCACCTTAAGATCTGCAATATGATTATTACAATTTTCACATGTTGTCTTTTCACCTATTACTTTAAACTAAGATTGCAGGTTTTTGACAAATTTTAAAAACCCTTATGCTTAACTATACAAAAAGAATATCCGTGCATCAAAATTATATCTGCCAAGTCTTTTTGACTTTTCTCTTGAGAGAATTTGTAGATAGTAATACCTGAAGAAAAAAGTTGCAATTCTTGTTGAGATATATCTTTAATATGCTTATTACATTTGGTATGCTTTAGATGCCAGATTAAGGAACTTGTTCCTGATCTACTATTGTGTTTAAAATTAGTCTTACAATACATGCATTGAGTACAGTCTGCTAGTAATTATAAATATTTTAATAAACAATTGTAAAAATAAAATATTTAATATTAAATTTCTTTATACTTTTACATAGCAAATTATTCTTGATAAAATATCTTTTCTAAAAAACTTATGATGGTTCTTTGCCAAACTTACATTTCTTAGTAGCAGAAACTACTTCGGAGACTACTTCAGTATTTTCATCTAAAACCATTTCACCTAAGACTATTTCACCTAAGACCATTTCATCTGAGACCATATCACCTTCACTAACAGAATCTATAATTGTTTCTATATAAGCAATCTCATAAACTACAATATATAGATTAGAGTTTGGCGACTTAGTAAAGTGGTGAAGTTGTCACACCCCCAAACGGCAGGTCTAGAGTTCGAATCCCATGGACGACGATTTTGAAAAAAACTAGATCTGTATCAGTTAATGTTAAGATTATCAGTTGGATTCAGATATCTGTAATCTTGATCACACTATTTCGAATGGGAGCATTGGCACAATAAATCCAGAAAACCAGAATTACTAAAAACTCGTTTGGCAAGTCCCGAGTTGGGAGTAGCAGTGATCTTTAATGGTGCTACAGGAAGACTGAATTTGGAACCAGAAACT